TTGCTGCTCTGTTGGAAAGGAGTGGCTCGGCCATCCCGTTTTCGGCTGCTTCTCGTCCGTGTGTGTGTCTTCTCCACCCCTCTTCGGCTAGCGTTTCATCTGCCGCCCCCCAGACACTGACTGCATCCAGCAGCAGAGCACCAAGGGGACGATGACGAGCAGCAGCAGCTCTTACGCCGAAGCACCGGTGTGGTGCTAAGCCGGTAAATAACAAAGTCCATGAGCAAGTAAGCTTTGCTACAGACACCTAAGCAGCACTGAAGGAGGAAATACTGTTTATTAACAGAGTATTATTCTTCTAAAATGCGATATAAATTGCAAGCACTCTATACACTGATAAAACTCCAGAGGACTGGCAAATGGAGATGAGTCTACCAGTAAAAAAATCTGTCAGGGAGGTAACTGAAGAATGACCTAACTTGAACGTAGCTATCTTCTTCTGTGGAGTGACATAAACTACATGTCTGAAGAGTTAGTAGTTCTTTTCTTAAATTTGACCTAGCTTCTTGTACTACACAAAGAACAGATTTGAAATAATTAAAATTTATCCAACCACTGTAAACAGGCTCTGAAAGAGATTTACACACTCTCCCCTATAATCTATCATAAAAGAGTACTGAAACATATTATCCCTGTAGTTTTACTTGCTGCCTCCCCGCTGGCACATCCCACCGCTGCCAGGAGAAATCCAATTCCCCGTTCTCCGAAGCAGTTCCCTCTGGCACTAGCAACGCCCTCGGTGACCTTCGCTAGCAGGGCCCCGAGTTCGGAGGCCCTTGGCCATGGCAGGGATGGGAGAAAAACGGGACCGGCCACAGCAGAGCAGAGACACAGCTTCTCTTGGGCCACACGGCCAGCCAGCAACGCCAAGGAATGGTACACCTGGAAACATTTCCTCCCTGCCTCCTGCCCACCTGCAATACCCCACCACTTACCCACACGCTGCTCTTCTCCATTTCAATGGCTACACCCCTGTAAGCACCCCTTTTAACAGACACCCATCCCTGTAAGAGAAGCACCTCTAGGCAACGCCGTGCTTGCGCAGGACTCCCACCAGAACCCCGCATTTATGAACTATGCGCAGGCCAACTATGGTTCCTCTAAGTTATGATGCAGCAAAGGATTTCAGTCTCCCTGCAAACAAACCGGCCATCTCAGCTTCGTGTCAGCCAGGAGTGGTTTAATTCCCTCTAAGCAGGCGACGACTCGGAATGCTGAGGGCGGCTGAACCTCTCAGCCAGTCTGAACAGTTGGCTCGGACAGCCCGAACAGGGAGAATGCCCACCCACACGTACTAATCTCCACATTTTTTTTCCTCTCACCACTCTGGTAATTGTTTATGGAGGTGTCACAAGCCCGTTTATACTCCGCTGTCAGAGCTGCTGAGCCCCCGTCAGACGCTGCACAGCCCCCCCTCCGCAGAGTCACGGCAGCGCTGGCCTGGGGCTACTCGTCCAAAAGCAACGCTTACATCGGGGTAAGGCTCTCTGCTGCAAAAACTTACAATTATAGAACAGGTTGCAATGTGGTATTTTAACTGTTTTTCATAGCTCTTTTGTAATTGTTTCATATAAAATTCCTTCACCGAGGGGAAGCAACTGACACGCTGCACTAATGGAACCAAGGGAAAAGCAATCTGAATGCCACGGCATTTACAGCAGGTGCCAGCTGACTGCACGCAGAGGAAAACGTGTGTCTGCTGAAACGAAGAGCCCTCCAGAAACAGCTCTGCTGGTAACAAATTAGTTCAGAAAAAAATGCATGCCGATCACGGAAAGGGCACGTAGTTCCCTGGTACACTTGCACAAATAACAACACATCCTTACGCATGTAAGAAATCGATTCTGAATGCTCAGATAAACTCATTTATTTTTCCATATGTTCTCCCAGATTTCATTACTACCTGCCTGCAGAATCATTTTCATAGGTTCATAAACAGTTATATTTTCATTCCCAGGCTCTCGCCTCCCAATTCTACCACAAATCATAAAGAATCATTAGGCCAAAAGCTGAGTTCCTCGATAGCTGTGAAGCCCTGACGCTCCTAAGCCTGCACAAATATGCACTGTTCAGAGGTCCCAGCAGAAATCAGCAAACGATTCGATTTACGGCGATGCTGGAAGCCTGAGGAATCACACTCGCTCCAACCGGACTGGCCGCGGGAACAAAAAATAGCAAATAGCTTAAGTGTGATCGCGAGGTCCCCAGAGACAGAGCTGGGGATCAGACGGTGCCACCCAGACCTCAGTAACCAAGAAGAGATCAAAAAAAAAGTTAAAGCAAACCCTCCACTGCAAATTTCCTAACCCTCTAGTGACAAAGCAGGGTGCTGAGTCCTTACAGAAGCCAAGCAGGACATCACCACCAGACAGCTACCGAGCTCTTCACGAAGCACTGCGAAACTGCGTGACGCAGGGTATACCGCTGCGCGTGCTTGATCGTCCTTGGGCGCCAGCAGCCCTCGGAGCACAACAGTAGATCCACCAAGTCCTTCGAACTCCAAAGCCACAGCACTAACACAGGTTTGACTAGCTCTCTCCATAGCGTTACTGAACTACTCGTCCTTGCAGCCGAAAGCAGTCGTTGCTGCGATTCACAGACATAATTCAGCACATACAGGACAGACAGACATTTTCCATGCGCCCTGGCTCCCCGGGGGGGCAGAATCGCGGCCTGCCCGGGGAATTGCCTCCAGTAGCGGGCAAGCCAGCCCTGCGGCTCCGCTGGCGCCCAAGACGGTTCCCGAGGGTTTAGTAGGTAATCTATGAACCCCTCTCTGCAGCCTTCCCACAAAATCCCAGAAGGCTTCTCCCCAACATCAGTTTTCTGGCACCAAAACAGAAAAGCTACAAACCCCGTGTTACAGCCAGACCTACCGACAGAAACATATGTCGAGATGTTAAAAAAAATTGTAGACAGAGAAAATCTGCAGAAGCTGGGTGTGAGATTCTGCTAGAAGCCTGATCATAAGAGAGCAGCAACCCTCCTGCCAGCCCAGTCGCAACCGAGTATCCCTGCAGCTTGCCCCGGAACACGGCCGCGCAGCCCTGCAGCCGGTGCCTCCCGTCACAGCTCCTGCAGGCTTTACGAGAACAGCCAGCCAGGGCTTGTTGCCCAGGGTCCGTGGCGCTGGGCTCTCTCTGGCCCAGTGGTCAGAAGAGTAGCGGAGAAGTTATTGAACGAATTTTTAAAAAATCATTATTAGGTTTTTCCCTCTGAGGTAAAGCAAAAATGGCAGATTTTTAAAAAATGTGATCAAAAATGAAACCAATAGTCCCAAAATCATCTTCAACAGATAAAAACGCCAAATGAGCTTTTATCCCTTACTCCTCCGAAAGTAAGAAAAAAGCTGTATTTATGGTAACATATCTAGGAAGGAAAACTACACCGGGATTTCCAATCACATGGATCATCAACCACGAGCTGAGGTGAGCTCTATCAGAGCGCAGAATGAGGAACTGGATGTCCTGAAAAAATCTATTACTAAATGTCAGCATGCAGAAAGAAATCAAAAAAGAGAAAAACTTTTCCCCCAGTGACTTTAAGATTACAGATGAAAACCCGTGGTAGTTTAACACACAGTCTCATCAGCACTGTGGAACACTGAATGCCAGGGATAAAACAATTTCAGGCTATGAGGCCTTTTGAACATTCAAATCACTCTCCCACAAATCCCCCAGAACACAAGCTGTACCCAGGAATGCAAACATAAATTACACTGTTCTTTTACACTATATATCTGTACGTACTTATATGTACAACCATAATAATGAAATGCCTTAAAAGTCTCAAAAAATTTAGTATATGCTGGAAAGCATTTTTTCCGCCTCACAGAGCTCAACAGAGGATGGAGCAATTCCTTAACACTCAGAAAGAGCCTACGCTAACCACCGCGACGATCCAAGGGCTGGAGCCCCTCTGCTGGGAGGAGAGGCTGGGAGAGCTGGGGCTGTGCAGCCTGGAGAGGAGAAGGCTCCGGGGAGACCTTAGAGCAGCCTTTCAATGCGGAAAGGGGGCTTACAAGAAAGATGGGGACAGGCTTTTTAGCAGAGTCTGTCGCGATAGCAGAAGGGGTAATGGGTTTAAACTGAAAGTGAGGAGATTTAGACTGGGTATAGGGAAGAAATTTTTTACACTAAGGGGGGGGAGTGAAAGATTGGCACCAGCTGCCCAGAGGTGTGGGAGATGCCCCATCCCTGGAACCATTCGAGGCCGGGCTGGACGGGGCTCTCAGCAGCTTGATCTGGTTGGAGAAGTCCCTGCTCGCTGCAGGGGGGTTGGACTACATGGCCTCGAAAGGTCCCTGCCACCCCAAACCGTTCCACGGGTTGATGATGATGATGATTTGGAAGAACAAGGAGAAAAGATAGGAGGATTTCAATACAATGGTCTGCTGCCACAGCTAATTGTTCTCTTTTCATGGAGCAAGAACTCTTAAGCTAAGTAAAGAATGTTTTGTGGCCTACCCTTAACTCGTTGCACACTTGCTCCTCTGAACCAAGCTGTCCAAATTTGTCAGCTTTGCTGATCTCCGAATTCAGTCTGCTGCTCAGAGCACAGCTCTTCCTTTCTGTCCGTTTCGAAGGAATGGGTGGCTGGGCAGACCTCATGGACTTATCAGTATTCACTACCCTTTTAATCCCTTTGTCATCTGATTTCTTTAAGAGATTTTAAACATTTATGGGCAGGTAACTACACCAGGAAAGTGGCCAAGGTATTAAATGACAGGTTCCAGAATATTTGGGAAGAAAACCAAACAGATGCTGAAATATATTTCTTACGAAAGCCGCTGCGAAAAACCAGTGTCTGAGAGAAGTAATTTCATTATGAAGAATTGCTGGACTCAATCTAAGGAAGAGACTGTCTGATTAAAACTATCTAAAGCATGTAGATAGGGCTAACATACATTCTTTTGTAATTTGAGTTTTGTATCTCCCTTAAATAATTTTGGGATTTGTCCTTGTTTATACTGCAGTGTGAGTATTAGCCAGATGAAAATTAGGAAAAAGCCAAAGGAGCACTTGGCCAGAGATGCCATTTATCACTTCTTCAGCTGTGCTGATGTCTTCATCTTACATTTTTCCATTTTCACATGAAAAAAAATAAAAATCAATTTTAACTGAGGTGACTGCCCTAGGAATGACTTGCAGGAGACGCAAATGCTGAGTGCTCCCACGTTCTGTGTCTAGAATTAGAAAATACAAACCATTATTCCCACTCAGAGTGAACGTGTAGTAACTCTGCCTTTACCTCATTTATGGCTTGACAGTGGCCAATATGTGCTGCTGTCTCACACATTCTTGGAGTTTGGAACAGGTATAAACCAACACATACAGAAGTAGCTGTAAGACCTCAAGCTACCCAGCCTAACAGATCGTACTTTGCCGTCAGTTAAATACAGGTCTGAATGCCTTCTCATGTGAGGGGTCCCCTGTTACCCTCATTTGATATCTAAACCCTCAGGGTGCTTTGTGTTTTGTTGCGAGGTCCTCTTCTCCTGATCATCCACCCTACACCGCGCCTGGGACCCTTCTGGAGGGGAACAGCAGGACTGCACCCCAGACAGAGTCCCAGTGTGCGCCAGCTTGGGTACCACTCCACCAGGCAGCACAGCGGGGACTCTGCCGGGTTCTGTTGCCTCTACCCAGCCTAGTTCTCTAACTCTGCCCTAGCAGGTCCTGGGCCTTCATGCAGCATCCCTCCGCATCAAGTTATACATGCAAAAATACAGCAAGATGCACGCCAGACCTCTTTACTTCAAATAAATTATAAAAATATTACTGTAAAATACCTTGAACACTTTTGCTAAAGTCTGTCAGGTGCAGTGAGGGGACATCTGGGGCCCAGAGGAGCCTGAACACCTTTCATTACAAGCCAAGATCCCCAGTTACAACTTCATTCAGCTTTCATTTGCTAGCACGCCCCATTTACAGCCTCGTGCGGGCTGCTCCGCCGGGGAGAGCCTCACCTGTACACCACCGCAGGGATGCGCTTCCAGGAGCGAAAGCTGGCCACGCTCTCCAGCTCTTTATCGGTGATCCAGGCAGGCACTATGATTTCCTGGGGGTAACTGCCACAGAGCCTGCGAGAAAAGGGGTGCAGAGGGTTGAGCGCCAGCGACACAGAGCAGTCACCTGCTTCCCAGACAGCACACACAAACAAGCAGTACAAGCAACCAGACAACTCTTCACCTCGACAAGCTGCCGTTTCGTTAACTCCTGGCTCGTTGTATGCTAACAGACTCCTCACTGCATACACACAAAACACCGTGAACATCGAGGTGCACTAATGCATTTCAGAATTAGAAGACTCCAGCTGGTGTTTTCTCAGGAAATCCACATGTAGGCAATTTTTAACTCCAGCTGCTGAAATAAACTGGACCACAGAAGAGAAATGCCATGTCTCCGTGCTACAGAATCAGCCGCTCTATTTCTGGATCACAAAACACAGAACCACCCTGGGCCACTGGATTCAAGGCAGAGAATTTGTGCAAATGTGGAAAAAGTCCTTCGGCTAATCGACCCTCGCTGAAGGCAGGAATCAGAGTGCACTGGCTCATGTCTTGACTGGCTACCTGGAACTTTCTTCTACCAGACGCACCTCCTACTCCACGATGTCACCAATAAAGCCATGACTGCCACTGAGAACAGGGCAAGCAGTCAGTAGTGACTGCAATACATCGCTGAATCACAAACTAGTTCATCCCCAGTCCATCCCCTTGGAGAGACGCATTTACTGCAGAAGGAGGACAGACATGAACATGCATCTAAGACCGTTCTATTCAGAAAAATGTATCCATCATCCTGAAAAAAGGCTCTTTTCTCAAGTGCTGGCCACAAGAAGGAAAGGAGTGGTTTGTGTCATTCTGCTTCCATACGACACAAAGGGTTTTTCCTTTTTCTTTAAATACCTAAGGGATAGCTATTTTTTCTTCCCTATATTTTTAGAGACCAAGACAGATCCTCTTCTTGCAGTGACATCCACTACCAGCCACAAGCCATTATCCTGCAAAGACAAGCGCAACGAAACGTGTTTCACCAACGTGTTACCGCTGGTTCTGCTCTGAACTGGATGAGGGGTCAGCCAGCACGCTGTCCCACCAGCTGGGAATGGAGGAAGGCCCTTCTCTGCTCCAGCAGCCAGCCAAGAGGGCTTTCAGGACCACAGAAAGTGTTTTATCTGATTTTCAGGATCTACAAGCTTAACTCTTCCAAACCAACCTTTTTTTTTTTTTTTTTTTTTTTTAGATACAAGTCTTTGTCACAAGTTAGAGAATAAGACACAATAAACAAAAGTTTTTTTAAAATATAACCAAACTCCACTCTTCACTCACTTAAGGCTTCCCCTTCTTCCATTAAAATGCTTCTTCTTTAAGCAGTCCTCCAGCAAGCACATTAAAATCTGGTGTTTCTAAGCCTACAAAAATTGTACTGGCTAGTAAAGCATTAAATAGTACTTTAAAAAGCACATTTTTACTATAAAACAAAAAAACCCCCCAAAACTCTAGCTGTCCCTTAACAGGAACTCTAGAACTTGGAAAGAGTTCCAGTAATCTGCTATAACAAAACTGGTGTTTTGAGATGCCATTTGGCTCTGAATCAGCAGCCCACATAACTTACTTGTACTTCTCATTGATGTTGGAAATCCTCCAGGCATTGTTCATATCAAAACCCATCCGCTCCACTTCGTTTTTAAACCTTGAAGTTACATGTTCTCCTGGGTATCAAAAGCAGAGACAGAAAACACATGCGAAATAAGGATTCCTGCCTTTGAAAATAGTTAGAGAAAAACACCCCTGCACTCATACTTCATAAAAACTGAAAAGAGAAAGGAACAGCCCCAAAACACTCCCTACATTCCACAACCCCATTCTGAAAACCCGTATCAGAAGCAGCACAGCTTGTACTGAGGGCTCTCCCTGGCCAGCTCTCCAGGAATGTCAAAGGCCACCGAGGACGACTTCTCTGCAATGACCAGCTTCTGTAAATCCATGTCAGAAACAAGAACGCTGCAGAGTGGAACCAAGCACATCGGCAAAAGCCACGTGGATCCACCAGTGGTCTTCATGGGGAAACGCTCGCAGTTTTTTCTTTTCTGAAGTTCAGAAGTTTCTATTAATGAGAAGTCGAAGCTCTGGCCCAACTGATAGGTGAAGGGGTAACAGACAGAACGTGGTCTGGAAGTTGGGCAATCTCAGCCACAGGTTTCCTGCAGGGCTGCAGGCAAGCCCTGTAATCCAACCTGGACCTCAGTTTCCATCTGTAAATTGGACATTGCTCCTCCACGAGTCACGTGGAGATAGGAAGATAAAATGAATAAACGATTGCTTGACAGAAATATCAGTCAAACGATCCTCACAGATTCCTGCATTAATATATTAAAGGAACTGGAATGAGCTCCATTTCCCAGACACTTTTTTAAAAGTATCAAAATGCAATTGAAGAAGAGGCAACTGCAATAAAGAGTAACTATTCTGACAGACAGAAAGTCTAGAGAATAAGATGGCCATCAATCAACATGTAGAAGAGAATAATGTACAAAATCTCCAGGTTCACAGAGCTAAGAGATGTGGTAAATTTAACAAGTGTGTGAGCAACACTACAAAACATGATTCTGAAAGTCTGTCCATTGCTTGTCTCCTTAAATTACTGTATCGTTAAATCATGAGGCAGAGCACCACCCAACGGGGGGGAAAAATCTGTTGAAAAATTAATGCTTTAAGTATTACATCCTTCAATTACACGTTTCAGAAAACCCTTAGAGCCTTCCAATACCTGAGACATATGCAGATGCATACATATCTCAAAGACGTGTATGTCTGACAATTTTTTACGTGACATTACAAAACAATTAGAGTTAAATTAGAGTAAATTAAGAACAAAGATAGCAGCCTAACCAGAGGACTTCATTAAGTCTGAAAGAAAAGCTACAGTGTTCTTCACTCCCACAGGTCAGCTCGTACGCTGAAAATGGTGCTTTGCAAATTCAGACATGCTTTACAACACTGACAATGTGCAGGAGCATACTAAGGCTATTTTTGTTACGCTTTTTGAAAGGTAAAATGCGAGAATGACACTGCGTGCAATGGAGCATACTCACTCTGCAAGGCACACGGCAGTAAAATCTATGGACCCGACTGCCCTCCCTCACCTCCTCCCTTTACATCACGTCACTGGTACGACAGTGCCAACACAAAAGACAGAGCTCTGCCCGCTGCGCTGTGCATTTGCTGCAGAAGGCTTGTCCCAGTGTCACCCCGGCACTGTAGTTCTGCTCTACCTTCCCTACTGCCAGACCAGTTAGACTGAGGCTTGCCAACAACTTCCCGCTTCTCACGTGAACCCTGGACGAGCCTGAATGTCGTCCCGGCCAGCCCCCGACGCCAACCGGCCAGCTGCCTGCGCCCCTGCTGCACATGCGCTGGAAGGCTCCAGAGGTGGCAGCCCTCTGATCCTTGGACAAGTCCAGAGGTGAAACTGGGACAATACATTCCAGCCAGACAACGACCACTGTCATGTTCTTCCTTAGCAGCAATTTTTATTTTTTTTTAAAAAAAGACCTTTTATTGGAACCGCAGCACGCTCTCACAGCACTGAGGATGGGCTTCATTATCAGCTGCTTTGAGGAACGGTCATTAAAACTTGTGATACATCCTTAGGGATTTTTCTGGCTAACAAATGAGAATACTGGAAATATTTCCAACCATCGATGCTGCATGCTGCTAGTGGATTTTAAGAGAAACACATAAAATGACATGAAAATGAAATATTCTTATTTCTCTACTGTGCATGTCATGAAATCATGAGAAATAAAACTCTAGCCTTAACATTTTTTCTGTTCCTCCTGAAAAGCCAAGATGGATAATATTTTCAATGCATCCCAACCAACTCTCAAAACCAGAGAAAAAGCAAGCTACCCATTGTGTGGACTTGTGCATTCCGGCTGTAAAAGCTGATCTTGTGAGCCACAGTTCGTATCTCCCATTATATACATGGATAACAACTTCCATATTTTATGCAGAAGTTGATACTTAGATTTTGAAGCAAATTAGTATTTATGTCCATATCTACCAAATACTGAGCTTCTTGGATGTAAAAAAATAAAACAGAATGTCTTAGGATTAACTTTTTCAGTTACATGCCCAGAGATTTATTTCAACTATAAATCAACTCCTAGAAGGAGAACGTCTACCACCAGAAATAAGCAAGCTACAGGGAGAAGGTGTTACATTAAAGAAAATGATTTGATAGACACATCTAAAAGAAAAAAAATTGACTGCTAAAAGTTAATAAAAAAAGTAAGTGCTGCTTCTTATCCTAACCTAGCGTTAGGCTGAAGCCCATCTGATCAGCGAGGAAAAGGACTACAAGCAGACTTTGGAAGCCATCTCCATGTCTGCTATCTTCCAGCTCCTGAATTTAGTTAGGAGAGAAAAGACTCGAGTTTAAAATTCTGCTCTGCTCTGAGGATTTTTTTGCCTTTTGTCAGTAACCGCCAACATAAACTGTGTCAAGTGCAGGAACCAGCAGCAAGGAGCACCCCTCTCCACCAGCGTGCTACCAGTCACTGCCCTCCCTCGGGCGCCAGAGAGATTCTAGTCTCTGCTCAGCCCCAGCCAGCTTCAGTGTTACAGACAAAATCACACTAACACCGCTCAACCCGATAACCGGGACACTCCTCCGAGATACGTGAATTGTGAGCAAAGAGAGCCTCGGATGTCCTTCTACTCAAACACGCACTACAACCATCAGCATCCCAGATTTTAGCTTTTATTTACTTGTGGGCTTCTAAAACTTCCCAGCAAGGACGACATTTCACTAAAACAGGTCGCTGTCCTGCAGCTGTGAAGGAACCTCAGGAGCAGCTCAGGGACTTCCTTCTCCTTCACCTCCTGCCCCTCTACCTCCATGTTGAAGACCACTGTTCTGACAATTCCAAAAACGTGGGCACAACCAGTACAAAATGTTTTAGACTGAAAGTTGCTGCCATGGTGAACAAAACATTATTAGTATTACACGTGACTGGCTAAATCAAAAATCCACCGCAGTAATTTCCTCAGGATATTCAGTACTGCTCTGTGTATTGAACCCGGAGTAGCTTCGGGGAGAGCGAATCTCTGTGTTGTTCGGACAGAACAAAACTCTGACTGTCGCAGACGTGCAAGACACTGAAAAGCACCTCGCTGTACCTATATGACTACCACACACAGTATAGTCACCAGTTAGTGAAGTGCAAGAGTTTATGTACAAAACAATTCCATACTGGAATTTTCCAGGTTCAGTTTACAACAGTACAGACTCAATTTGTTCATAACTTTTTTGAAAGCTCTGGGTTTCAACAAACACGCAGCTACGAGTCCGTGCACCTGCAATGATCCCCCAAGCGTCTCCACGTACCTGGCCGACACAGATCCCCGTGCTGCTCCTTCTCACTAGCATACACCTCCATGCACCACGCGTGGTAGGCAAACGAGAACAGGTCCTCTATCTTCGAAGGGGGGCGGATGGCATTGTTCAGTCGCTTAAGCCAATCTTGACATTGCTCAAAAGTCGAAAACTGACACCTGTCCCAGAAACAAACACCGATCTATTAATTTGCAGTAAAAGACACCAGGCTAAGATCTGCCAAGCTGACTATGGAAACACTCGGGAAAGCAGAAAGTGAGGACAAACCTCTTTCTTACCAATAGCTTCATTCTGCTGCCATGCACATTCTAACGGGTAGTAAAAATGAAACCCTTGGCTCCCAGTAAAGACATACGCACTTCGGAAGTCAAAATGAACCGTAAGCAGCAAAGCAGTGTTCTGTGACTACGAGTAAAGCAGCAGCACGCCCTGCTCGTCACGAATGAGGGAGACAGCGATGTGTGTTTACTACACAACCAAGGACGGTATCACTGAGCTGTCTGCAGCTTGCACCCGACCCAAGGCAGGAACGAGTCACAGCGACCGGCTGACTGGTGCTCTCAGATGGGGACTCACCAAACCATCCCATACAGGATAACCAATGCAGCATATTCCCGTAAACAAGAACACATTTTTTACCAGACATAGGATAAATACCAATTTAATATACTTAATCTCAGAATAATGAGGACAAAGTCTGGTATCCGAAACCCTACGTTCTTCTCCTATCCCAGATGCCCAGATTCTCCCTCCGGCCTTGGTGGGAAGAACAAACAATGTGTTTGAAACTGAGCTGTGCCTCACATTACAGACTAACAGCAACCACCAGCAAGAACCTTCCCTGCACAGGAGAAACTGATCTCCAGAGCAGTGTATTAAAATTACATTAGGTTGTCTTTTCACAGAGGATTCCCTGACCTTTTAAACTAAAAGGGTGGAAATAAGACCAGTGATTTATTTTGTTCTGACAGATTTCTTCAAGGTTTTCACAGAATCACAGAATGGTAGGGGTTGGAAGGGACCTCGGTGGGTCTTCTAGTCCAACCCCCTGCCGAAGCAGGGGCACCCAGAGCAGGCTGCACAGGACTACGTCCAGGCGGGGCTTGAATATTTCCAGGAAAGGGGGCCCCACCAACTCGTCCTGTCGCTGGGCACCACTGAAAAGAGCTTGGCCCCATCCTCCTGACACCCACCCTGCAGGTCTTTGTAAGTAAGTTTGTAAGTTTTATGGTTATAAAACGTTCACCAAGTATTTACATTCAGCTCAGTCTGTGTTCTACTGCACTCATGGTTTATGATAGCATCCGTACTCTCTAAGGGCAGGATTTATTACCCCTACCCGCAAATATCTAAAAGTCAGTCAGTGGGAGGAAAAAGACACCTCCAGCTCCTGAAACGTGTCTAAATAGCTGCAAGGAGCTGCAGCCTGGAGGTTTTTATTTCCCATCACTGACTGTAAAACAAGCCGAGACTACCAGGTTAGAGCAGATAATTCTCTATTCAACACCCATAGTCACACAAGACACATCTCACCCTAAAGACCCCAGTTTCTTTCTAACTCTTTTAAAGTTAGTGTTGCAAATCACAAGTACTATCTTCACCTGCGCCCCATTATTCAAAACACAAACTACTTTGCTCATGAAAAATAACATGAATGTGTTCTAAATCTGGTGTCTCAGCCCCACACTTCCTGGCCTTCCAAAGGCCAGTGTCACTAAGTACTGGTTCTCAGAGATGCGATTGTGAGGGGAGATTCATAAGGAAGGGCATATATACAAATCACTTGTATTCATTCTACAATTGAAGAGAAATAACAAATTAATGTAGAGAGGAAGGGCGACTTTCTAAATGTCAAGACTTACAAGTTAAGAGAAGGTTAAATATTTAATTCAAATTAAACTAAACATTACTTCTAAAGAAAAATCAGTCCTCATCAAAACACAGCGTCTCAGGAAGCAGCTGGCCTGTTAAACGTTCTGAGTGCTCAGACACGGCTGGGGCTCGTTTCATTATACAAAAGGTACTGCCAGCAAACATTTAATCAAAAAGAAGCGTTCCTTTCTTGTTAATTAAAGTTTATAGATCAAAATTAATTTCTGCAGCAGCAAAGTAGGAAACCGCTGTAGCTCAGGCGCTCCTGGGGCAGACTCCAAGGCTGCTGAAGGACAGACACAAACCAATTCCCCCTCCCACACCACGTTATCTACTCTACCAGGCTACGGCCTGGCTGCAGACCCAGCTGTACCTTGCTTACTCCCTCACCTTCTTTTCCAGCAGGCTGCTGTGTCTTAGGGACAGCACCTGTACCCTCCGAGCTGCCGAATCCACAGCGTGGTGGATGCCACCCAGACTGCGGGGTCACGCAGAACCGCACGAGCCCACATCTGAACCCTCCAACCCCCAAATCGGGACTAAGCACTTTTCGAGGACGCATGTGTTTCAGTGGTTTTACCTAGTGCTGTGTCTTGTAACTAAGTGAAGCAATACGTTGTAACCGATTGTAAGGCAGGGAAAACGCAGTGAGACTAAAACTAGTTTCAGAACAAGACCAAGATCAGCCACTTCAGCTCAGTCCAAGGCTTGCTGCTATACTGTATCACAGCAAGCAAAAATGCAGACTGTCTTGCTTCCACCCTCTTAACAAAAATACCCAGCTATCGTCTGCAAACTCAGACAGAAGAAAATGTTTTGAGGGAAAGCAAGTCCACTAAGTCAGAAAAAACCTTTCCTTGAACCGTCACAGCTGCCCCCAGCATGTGGAAAGGAAAGTGACCCCCCACTCACCATCCCGCCTACTCATACCTTATCACCTTGCAGTCTTTGCAAGTCAGATGAAGTTGAAATATATCCCGGCACTCAACGCTTTCTATGAGCTGCAATGGAACCTGCAATTAAAAAGATTGTACTTATTATTTCAAACAGCACGAACACTGTAATTTCTTTGCATATCTCACAAGGACTTATGATAGGACTACACGGAGTCTGAAAAAAGAGAGAGAAAAGCAAAGAAAACTGAGTATAATGACTTCATGAGCTCTGAAGCACGGTACCCTGCGTCAGCAGTTTGGGCTCCACTGCTGGATAGTCCCAAAACCTGCCGGGCTCGCAGGAAAGCAGCCGAGCAGGCTGCAGCACCGGTGACAAACGCACGGGCAGGAAAAGCCGCAGAAACCCACAAGCTCCTCTCTCACAGAAGCATCTTTCTCTTCTAGCTCCAGATTTAGGAATCTTGGGAATATAATTTTAGCAGCTGGTGTCACAAACGAACTGCTAAGAAAGCTCCCCCTTCACAGACTGCTGCGGCCCAGATGCTTGTTATCTGCAAATAACCCGTATTTCCTCTTCAGGGAAAAAATCATTTGGCCTGTCCAGACCAACACTCGACCTAAGCAGCCACATTTAGCGTAACAACGCCGAATCCTTCATTTTCAAAGGTGCGGTTATAGGCACTTCTGGTCTACGGCACACGTGACCAGCAGAAGCTAGACCAGGCAAAACACTTCAGCATATGCAATGGCCTTTAAAGGTAAGAAGAAACATGGATATTTTTGGACCTTCACCTGAGACAGGCAAATGTACATTATCGTCTTAAATGAATAAGCACATTGCAGACGCTGACAGACTCAGATACCAATGTAACAGTATTTAAATGCATTACAGACAAGGTCAGATATACTGTTGCTACAGTTGATCTCTTTATTTTAACTGCTAATTTCTTCCACATCATCTCCTACTTGATTCTTGTCTGCAAGGCAGATAAATTGCTGTGACAGTTTTGTCTAATAAATGAAGGGACTGGAACAGACCTCAGACTGGAGAATTTTCCACTCTTTTTTTCCCTGACTGGACAGCCTCACATACACCAATAAATTATTTAAAACTAACACTGACTTACACGGCACCCAACTACATGAGTTCAGACTCAGAAGACTTGCTTTTTCACTCAAGTGCTCCTCTGTCTGTTAATTCCCCCCCCAGCCCTCTTTTATTGCATTTCTTCCCATGCCCATCTTCATTCCAGCAGTTCTTCACCTCGCTCCCTCCTCCCAGCAGGCTGGTTCTGGCTCCTCATCCTCCTGTCTGCACTCTAATGACATACTAAGTATTCTCCTACTGCATTATTTTTAATTTCCCTTTTTCAAAGTCACTCTTTGTTCTCTGCCCTTTCAATTTGCCCTCTGCTCAATGGCCATTCTCTTTTCTCTTGACAGTCTACGTGCAGCTCACCATCTATTTCCTTTGAATCTGCTGCTTTTTCTTCAGGGCACCCTTCATATCAGTCTTTTTAATTTTCTTTTCTGGTCATACAAATCTGTCCTCTGACCCTCTTGCATTTTCAATCTCCTTCCCGACCATTACTCCTCCCCCAGTAAAACTCTGTAGAATTATCTGCTGTCCTTCCCCATTCTTTCCCACCGATTCCATTTTCACTCTTCGTTTTTTCAGGCTGATGCATGCAGCAAGGCGGACACCCAGCACAGTGAGCTTGCTCTCAGAAGAGCCAGCAATTCCACTCGCAGGCGCTTCGCCTCATAACAACGGCTATCGAAATGCAGCCGTGGAGAAGCAATCACCTGTGCTTTCATGAGAATAAACCTGCATCGTTACCCAAGGCCAATCTCATCGCATCAGAGAGTACCAGAACCCTGCGCTCCTGCAGTATCCGTCTCTTGACTGTCGCCTTTAAAATGATCTCCTTTTAAACAATAACAGCATTCTACAACTCAAACTTTTTTCTTTTTGAAATTAATTTTTTTTAATTTGAATTATTGGAGCTGTCTGTTATCTAACTGCAGTACAAGGTACACTTAGAGAAAAACACTTCTGCGGTTAGAAAAAGCACAAGTCATGGTTAAACTGCTGAAAGAACCCACGCCATGGCTGAGGCCTTGACCACAACGCCACGCGGTGGCAGTGGGCCATGGCCAGGCTGCCGTAAGCCAGCCGCTTCACCAGTGACCATGCCATGTGCTCGACCCTTCACACCACTTGGCCCCAGTCTCTCCGGGATACCACGTGGCACCCAGGGGCCAAAAGCTGTAATTAGTACTTTCTTCTTGTTTTCCCAGCTCAGAGCCTGAAATAATGCCAGGGTTACGTTGCAGACTGGTTACTTTGAACAGCATGAGGCCAAGGCTACGCGCTGCGTGTCCCAAGCCGGGGGTAACAGGGCAGCTGGAGGAACTGCGGGTGCGAGGTCAGCTCAGAAGGTCTTCCAGGACTCTCCTCGGTGGAGGGAGTCAAATCCCTCCAGGTCTGATCTCGTTCATATAACCTACAAGGAGTACCTGAAGGAAATTTTGCTTTTACTGACAACTACTAACACTTCGGTTTTGGCTTCGAGGCAATCATTTGCCCCTCTCTGCTTCCGCTATTCAGGTGCAGGCAGGGTGAACAACCAGAGGATCAGGGCCTGAGAACGGAACAAGGACTAAGTTACTGCTCAGCACAGATGAACCCCAGCAGCGCTACAGTCATAAGCCAGGGGAGATACCAAACCCATCCTCTTCCTATTAAAGACCAAGCAAGGGAAAGCTCACACTGAAACTCCTTTACTCACCAAGACTGAAAGTCTCCCTCCTCTTGCCAGCATGAATTTTTTTTTTACTGTGCCCAGAATCTGCTGTTTGAAAGGGGATGCATGCCAGTCCACGGCTCCATAAACTACACTACAATTTTAATTCTCCTGTAAATGCAGTTAGCTTACAGCAAGATCAATTCTTAGATGGAAACACTCACCAGCTGCAAAGTCTGCAATTTTCTTAAGGCAAGCCAATCACGAGAGATCGGCCTGGGAACCACGCTTCCCACGTGCACTGACAGATGACTGTTGAGTCTGCACTTCTATCCCATGGATAAACGCAAGTCAACGCTTCTGAATGTCATAATCCCTCCGATTTATGCACGGTCTACTGGATCTTTTGGGTTTGCATTTAAAACACCATGGTCCTGTTACCACACTGATCTAGGAAATCACCCATGGAAAAGATTTATGCAAACAGCCATTTTCGGCAGTGTCGAATGTGAGCATTAGCAACTTTTGAATGTATTTCTTTTCACGTACAGGTGCAGCAAGTGGTCTAGCAGCACTGTGCTACTCGGAGGTTTCACAAGCGTCCTTCTGACAGCCAGTCTACTGAACTGTAAACCAAAAGAGAACAGCGAGGTAAAAAGCCCAAAGAGCAGGAATCCATTTTTAACTGGACTCCACCTCCTCCACGCAGTTGTCCCATACTAAGGCGCAAGGAGCTGACACGCATGCTGCTTTCTCTGGAAGGCCATTTCTACCAGGAGAACACCCCCCTACTTCAAGAGGAGACGCCTGCGCAGAGCAGCTGCGCGTTCAGACCCACGGGAGCAATTCGTTTCCCAGGCACTGTAACACAGATACCTGCTAAGCAGCCTCTTCCCCACACCGCAGCACTTCGCTGAGGTGACAGGGGCATTGGGGTGGCTGGACGTAGTCAGGACAGTGATCCTTATGAAGATGATTCCAAATCATAAAAACCCCAACCCCTAACATTAGTGAACCTTTATACATTTTTTAAAAGGTCTTACAGGTGTTTTCTGAGCAGGCCTAGCAATACAAAAACAGTAGGAAAGAATCGAGATGAACATGATCAAAATGTATTCAGAGAAGATTTAGTTAAAAAAAAAAAATCACAATCTGATTAATAATTTTGATCAACAATAACCAATGTGATTATTACTCCAAAATTTAACCATTTAAATCTGGTTCCTAATTATTGCAAGTAAGTTTTATCCTTAAAGATATTTCAAATCCTGTCTGTCTTGAATTCCAGGAGAGTTCATACTACGTTATTAGCAACGGTCACATACGGTTACAGAAGAATAATCTATATTCTGCTCTACCTCATACACTATCTAATGGAATCTTTCTGGTTAATGACGACACACGAAGCAGGACTAACAGCTTGGGAGGTATCAGATGGCGCGAGAGGTCAGGATACTGCATATGAAGTCAGGGAAGCAATTAACATGGTAATACCAACAAACTTTTATGGACTCTTTCCTGAACACAAAGAAACAACACTATTTAAGAAAACAACAATTCTTACTGCTCAAAAATAATTAAATTGAAAATTCTTAGAAATTAATACCCTCAGTTATCCTAAGGACAGACACGACACTAAGTGCCGTACATGCATTCGTGGCTTCTTCTCTGATAAAGTAACTCTATCACGTCCTGTCATTCCTCAGGACAAATTCTTGATTTCTAGGGCTGCTCCTGTTTCTCCCCTCTCAGGTCCTTGTTTTCAAACATTCAGTCCTTCGCTTTGTCAATTCTAGTTGCCAATTTCATACAATATTCACACTCTGAATTTGAAAAAAAAAATATCTAACAGTAAGCAAGGCAACACAGATCTATTGTAGCAGGCCCCTTGGCAGAATTCAGCCCTAGAATCCATGTCTGTATCACAAAGCAGCCCAGGAATCCCACAAAGCACACGCCTCGTAACGCATCTTCTCTCCGCTGCCGGCACATCTGGCAGGACTGCGGCGTCCCGGCACCTGGCTGACCCTTGGCTACCATTCCCATGCACAGTGGCACTTACAGCTTAACCTCCAAGTCTCAGGTTACCCAGCAGGACTGACTACAGAAGAGCAGTGAGACGTAGTTACGCTACCTCTGCGTATGCACGTACTTGTACAGTCTCCTGTGCACGGTCAGCAGCGGGAGATAACGGCCCGTAAAGTTCCCGTTAAATTCTTGTCATGAACTAAGGACTTGTCTTGAACTAAGGAGACTGGTGAAAAGTCCATCATCAGGAGACAGAAAAATACACTTTCTTTGGATTCATTTTATGGGATTTATTACAAATCTCCATAAAATCATCTGTGCCATGTACAGTGTTACACAGTCACAAACAGTACTACAACTAGTTACACTAGTGTATGTCAGCATTATACTGCTGCAAAGGACTACACACCGCCCATCTGACGTACGTCTGTGATCGTGACTAGCTGGATATGTCACAATTTTTAAGAATGGATGCTTAAGAGTAAAGCTCTTTGCAGAAATGCATAGGCATCTGAAGATGAGATCCAATGCACAGATGGCAGTGACTTACTCACACTACCCAACTTCACGCATGCAACTTCAGTCGCTGAACCTACGTGCACCTTTCAAAGCTCCTCCAAGCAAGGCACGAAGCTAGCTCAGCTGCTCCGAGCAGCCCTTGGGAAGACTTTATTTCTCTACCGAGTGTATACAGAGCTTGGGGAGCACAAACGGCTGACTTAGCCAGCTGTAAAGAGAATGTAAAGTTGCGTATGTGAAGTTTCCTTATGAAGCCTGATTTTCAGAGGTGCTGACTCATCTTCTGACACCTAAATATGTATCTGTTTTCCCTGAAAAATGTGATTTGAACACCATAAAGAGATTTTTCATAACCACTAACCTTAGAAAGCAGTATCCCTGTACTTTTATCCTAAATTCTCTTATGTGGACTGAGTTCAGAACATCTGTCTTACCATCACAGCATGAACACCACTTACATTCACAACAGACTCCTTGAATTTGATGTGAAGCCTGTAATTAGAAAGTGCAATGATGGCATCCTCTGCTCGTCCTACATACTCTGTACTCTCACCATGAAGTTCAATGAATGGGACCTACAGAAGGGGAAGAAAAATCTTTCAGAAACCATTTCAGCACACAACATCGTAAGAACAAGCTGAAACACTGCTGAGAACTCAGCCTAGCTACTACCGCTAAGAAGGAAAGTCTTGGGTAAGGTTGGTTCAGAGGTTAACTGTAGCTTTTTTAAAAAACAATTCCTCATTTTCTCTTTATTTTCCTGAGTAGTAGGTGCTTGGTCAGGAAAAACAGTGAATTTTTATGAAAAATCTGAGCAAAATATCCTCCCATTTTTGGCAAGCAGTCTGACTGCCTCTTGAATTATGCTCTGACTCCTTACTTACTGGAGAGTGGCATTTCCCTAATGTGACTAAATTCACCCTGAAGTAGGCAAAACACGCCAGACGTGCTGCGCTACTGCTCCCCAATTCACTATGCAAGCTCAGATAACCGGCTTCGACTGGATACCTAAGTGCGACACAGCTGAAGTCACCTGGACAAGTTGTACATTTTGCTTCGTATTTCTCACTGTAAATATGAAAATACACAATATGCTGCTGTTTTATAAAGTTAGCAAACCTGTAAGTCTTATGCTGCACACAAAAATTGCAACTGTTTAATTACAAATATGACTTAAGATCAATTTAGCAGAGCTGGGTGAAAAGCACAAGTGCTCAACTTGGAAATAATCTGGTTTTATACCAACTTTGTTATAAATAAATGAAAAATATTTTCTATAATAATAAAACAAACTACCTCTTCAGTTGATATAAGAGTGTCTGCATGTATAAATCACTTGAACTAAATTGATTTCAAAAGCAACTTTAGAAAAATAAGAAACAAAAAAAAAACCCATTTTGTGCAACGTAGGACTTTTTTGGCTTCCCGGTAACAAGAAGTAATGGTAGGACTTAGTGTTATGTTTTTAAAAAACAAAGCGTTCTAAACTATGGAATAAAACCTTCCTTACGCTGGTAAAAAAAGGAATCATTACCAAGTTCTTAGTGCCTGAATTCTTACACGAGTAATGGCCATATTTTTCAGATACTCTAAGGAAACTCTTGTAATAGAATGCACACACTCTGTCCTACCAGCTGTACACGAGCATTTCAAAAGAGAATGTGCTTCTCCTATTGCTGCGCTGAGCTACAACTGGAAATTCTACAGAGGACACAGGCCAAGCAGAGACACTGCGATCTCAACTGGCAAGGAGCAGCGTGGCGATTACCTGCAGGTTCTCATCCTCTCGGATCAGCTGCTTCCTGGGAAAAATCTGATTAGCCTGGATGCATTCAAGGCTGTGCTGGGTCTCTTCATCCTGAGAAACAAAGCACCACAGTTAACTCCAGCACTGTCACTTGCTGCCCTCTTCAACGCAGAGCAAGCTATCAATGACCAGCGACAAGCTCAAACAGGATGGACTGTTTAGAAAACACCGGTATCAGCAGCTTACTAAGGTTACTAGACTTTCAAAGACAAGCACTCTAACAGCTGAATATGACATCAGAACAGGCTTCCTTCCTGCAGCCTGATTAGCAAAGTCCTAGAAAAGAAAGGCTTGGAGTAGTATTAGGGAAAAAAGCATTAACCTAGCCTAGTACTACATTTAAGATTCAACAACCCCCCATGTAAACATTAATTCTCTAACTTTCTTCCGATTTTGGCCTGTTCTGCTCTGTAACAGACCCTACAAAACCTTTTGGCTTACCATGACAGGCCCTGGACAGGAGGAGAAATCCTCGTCTTTACTGACAATACTTTGAGGCTCCTCTTCACTTATTATTAAAATCTGGAAAACCAGAAAAGTATAATGATGAAGTCAAATTCATTTTCTTTTGGCAAATAAACACAAATTAACTTTTAAAGACTGAGAAGTCAGCTATTAGAACAAGCAAACAGTGATCATGCAAAGATGAAATCCACATAAACTAACTCTTCTGAGAGACAACGCTGTTTCAAAACGTGCCTGGCTCCTTCGGTTCATTCTGAAAAGTCATCTTGGAACGTACTGCTGGGAGAGCACCCGTGTGATCGCAGCGATTCGACCAACGTTTAGATAATTTAAATTAAAACATGTTCATCTTTCTAACCCCCCTGAATTTTCTCCCAAGCCCTTTGCAGATGGAAATTCATAAATGGAGAGGTCATAAAACCACAAGGATCGTTGCGATCATTTACTCGGATCCGTTACGCAACACAGGTGGTCGGATCCTCCTGAAGTGATCTCGTTTCAGCTACAGCACATGAATTAGGATTCATATATGGATAGAAATCATCGTTTTATAGTTCTAACTCATCTTCTACATCCATGGACGTATCAAAATATCCATTTGCTTGCACCTACCCTTCCAAGAGCTCCAGATCACTGTCCACCAGTGTCCTCTCCACTAACAACCCCCTGACCTTTCTCGTCTGCACATTTTCTGGAAACACTCAAGAGCACACAGTCTTGAATGTTCTGCAACTGACTGTTAGAAACTTAATGATGGAAGTGAATACAGGAGTTGCAATTTGATTTTTGAGATTTATCTTCTATTCAATTTTTTAAATTCAGTATGTTCTTCCCTTTTAAAAAAAAAAAAGGGTTCATTCAGATATTTTATGGGGTTTGCAGTCTACAGCACATAAGTGATACAAACAAAAATGTCAGTCAGTTCTGTTTTTCACCTCACTTCTACATTATATAATATACTGTACTATATATATTTTATACATTATGTATAATATATATTATAAAGGTATTTCATATGCTCAGTGCTGTGGTTGGCACGGAAACCCACTTTGACTCCAGCAGCTCAGAAGCACACAGTGCCGCAGTGAGCGCTCACCGCAGCCAGTACGCTGCACAGAACATCGACACAGGAAAAAGGAGCAGCAGACACATTCTGAAACTAAAACATCCCACTGTCTAAAAATGATCAATGAGAAGAAAGCATTGCACTGCCCTCAAAGCCTCTGTTAAACAGGAATATCCCAATAAACAAAATGCCTTTACGTCCCCAAAGCAGGGGAGAAACAGCAGAATAAATGCTTGCAAGGAGGTTCAAAATCCCACACCTTGCAGAAGGATGAGTCTGTATAGATATATATACACACATAAATGTAAAAGGAGAAAATTACAAGCAGAATCAAGCTGGAACTGCCACTAATTCACTGAAGACTAATGCAAAAAGTAGATCTAAAAGACTTGACAGAAGTCTGAATGTACCGGCTGTGGAAACTGAGAAGGAAAACTCAAAGAGCAGCACAGAAATTTCCACACCTGCCAGCACAGTGGAGGGTGGGAACGTTCTTGTAAGCTGTCAGAAACCAAGCAGGTCTAGAAATGCTACCTACCAACAGCAAGACGGAGATAGTGTTATTGTTAATACTGGTTTAAAAAAGGCCTAACTACCTCACATTTTTGTTTCATAAGGAGCAGGAGAAGAAAGATGGTTCATGTGTAACCCATGCTGTAAGTGATGAGACGATTCACAGAATCAGAAAGATCGAAGCTAAAAAGGCCATAAATTCATCAGGTTTGACTTTTAATATACCAGAGGGCATAAAATTCCAGCCCTTGCATTCAAAACAAGAGCTCGTGCTCAGTGCCAGCATGACTTGGTGTTTTACACACGCCGTGTTCGGTTATGCTTATCTTCCCAAGCCATAGCGACTCTTGACTTCAGATACCAAAAGCGGGGGGGCTCAGCGTTCCTCTCCAGCGCAGCTGGTCTCAGCTTCCAACCTTCACTGTCACTGTATGTTTCTCACGATTGCGTGATGTACCCTTCTCCTTCATCTACAAGATCTAAAAAATGAGCCTCCTGCTCCACCAAATTTAGAAAGATGGCGAAGCAACAGGCCCATTTGTCCTGTCAGCCTCTGCCCCACAGCTCATCCATCACAAAAGGCACCGACTGGATTAACTTTGCAGTGTATCCCGATATAACGAAGACTAATGATTCAAGCGAAGCTGGCTTTAAAACCAGTGAGGTTTACACAGTTTGCCTTCTCCTTCTCCATCCTTCAAACAGCGATCAGCTCACACGCTCAGCTGAGGAGCGACGGGCAGTCAGGGCACGCTTACACCAGCACGGTGGTGATGATGACACTGCAGCTCCCGTTCCGGCAGGCTGCGGGAGGCAGGCTCTCGGCACTGCCGCCTTCTGCACCCTGCTGCCTCTTCACCAGCACCCGTTCTGCTCTCCCAGAACAGCAGCCAGCGCGAAAGTCACCAAGACCAAACTTCTCCAAATCAATTCATTTAGACAATTTATGTACAAAGCTTTAAACATTAATAGTAAAGCCTTCTGAATATAAAAAATGCTTTTGCTATTTCTGAAAACTCCTTCAACTGCAAGCACAATTATCAAAGAAACACAGACCTAATTAAAAAGATGAGCTTTATTACAAATCTAAAGCATGCTTAGTACTGCTGTTGAAAAATTTTAATACATTAGGCACTGTGCTGTAACAAATTGTTCTTCTGTGCTTCAGATTGATTAGATATATTTATTTTTAAAGTTAACTTTATAACCATCTACATGACAATAAAAACAGTAGTAGCTTAGAGAATTAGCTCTCAAAAATTTCTTACAGTTGTGCTCCTAAAATCCATCAGAATTCTCGTGTTGTTTAACTGCAGCTAGCAAATCATCAGCTCTTCCATGACAGTACAAAACACTTCCCAGAAATGAAATGGAAATGTTCAAACACAGCTTCGATACTAACTGACCAAGAAAACCTCTTCATAACAAGCACCCTCAAATTCAGGCTCCCACTTCCAATAGGAGCACATATAAACAGCAGATAGCTTACAAATAGCGTAGCAAAACTTTTTATTGTTAGAAATAGCTTTTTTTTTTTTTTGAGGACTGAGGCCAGAGAAGGTAATGTCATCGATTTACTGTGCTGCCCTTTCACACATATTAAATTACACCAAAAAAGAGGTTAGTCTTGTTAATTCTCCATCCTTATGTTCTGCTTGAAAGGATGAATGATAAGTAAAGGTTGTAACCTCAGCCTCTTCTTCATCCAGTACAGGAACATCTTAATTACCTTTCGTTTCAGATGTGCCTTCTGGTCTAAATTCTGTACAGAATTAACACTAGCAATAACCATCTGTTTGCCAGTAATTCTAAACAAAAAATATTTTCTAAATAAAGGATCATTTACATTCACGCATATTTAAATGTAGTTGGATTTACAGCAAGGAAAAACTGCAGGGAAAAAAACGGAAAAAGGAAGCACCCAGGTGTTTCACTTTCTTCCCGGCCTCCCATGTCCAGATCTTGAACTACTTTAGATCTTGCTCTATTTTAGTATCCAAATGAAGCTGAGTTGACCCTCAGTCTCAGAACACAGCTATTTCCACACAGCGTTACAGTTGCCCTGTAGAAGTTGTAGATTGGAATCCAAGGTTTTGACAAAGAAATGTTAGAAAACCAGAGCACAAAATATTCAAGAACACGACCTGGCTTTAGTGAAAGATGCTCCTGTTACAAAGTGAAAACACTTCCTCCCCTTTCACAGCTGGACAGAAATTATCCCGAGATAAGAATAAACACCGAGCTTCCCACATCTCAGTCCCTGACAGCAAGGTTTCCCCGCTCTGCTGGCACCGCTCACAGAAGTCCCTGCGTCGCGTTCCCAGGTGAATACAGGGCAGCAGCTAACAGTGCAGACATCTCCACGCTGCTCAGGAGCAGGGGCGACAAAGAATCACGCTGCGAGATTCTGTGCACATCTGAGAGTCAGAAGTCGCCTTTTTCTTAGAATTAAAGGTTGCACGCTCCAACTCAGTAAAACGTAGATTCTTGTCTAACATCCTAGAAAATGCTTTATTTAATTAAGAGAGTAATCAACGGTAACTGTAGAACCCACTATCAATAAGTAGCTCATCTTATCAAGATAACACAATTAGCTCACCAAAGAATGAGAGGTAATAAAACAGTCCTCTTTGTCCCAGAAAGTTTCAGACAGCCTTCCGACACTTCACACTGGCAACTGCAAATAAAAAGAGAGTACTTTAAAACAGGAACCTTCATTAGAAAAAAAACCCACGCTTCTTAACTAGCTAGCAACTTACACAAGAAACTCAACTGTTACGTTAGTCTTAATTAAGAGCGGAAAAGTAAAAAGTACTAACTACTATGTAAGTCATAACTACCGAGATCTTCACATGCCCAAAGCAGGAATTCCAGGGCTGGATTCTGACAGGTACACATGTGCTCGTTAAGGCCTCTCTTCTGGTGAGGGCCAGCTCAGAAATCGTGGCCACTAAGCAATTAGATTTTTTTTTTTAAAACTTCTTTGGTACACAGAAGTGAAAAAAAAAAATTTACTTAGCAATATAAGCTGCAGGAGAGCCCTTTTCTAGAAGACCCAACTGGTTTTGTACTGACCTTCAGAAGTGTCTTTTTGTTTTACAGTAAAATTAGCTTCCCAGCCCAAGGAAGCAGATGAAGACCTCTGAACAGCCAGGGTGAACAGCAACGCTCATGATTCCTCCCAAGGCCAATTTTTTTGACTTTCCAAGTGCTGTACAAACAGTTACTTCCTCAAAAGTAAATTTAAGTATTGTGTCACAAATATGTATTTGTCAAAAAAATTATATGGAGAAAATATCTGATTTGCTTCATTCTTCCACAGTCACTTCAGCAGGTATCGAGCATCTGAGTGTCTGCTGGGACACAAAGCTCTACATTAAAATACCTAAAACCTAAAATTAAAGTTCCAGACTAAACCCACCCACTCCTAAAGCAAGCAAGCAGCCAGGTGTCTGGAATACCAACTCCCCTGTATCCAGTGTACCAGAAGACTTGTTCTTCACAAGAACTTGGAAGGTATTCCAGTAGCACGCTGCATGTATGTGTGCCTGCAAAGTCGAACGTCTACAAACGTATAATCCTGCTGCTTGCTTGTACTTTCATGTGCCACATCTAGTGATAATATTCACATTCTTGTCCATTAAAAAAATAAAGCTCTATTTTGCATTTATTGTGTCCTTTAGTTTACGGTTTATGACAGGGAAAAAATAAAAAATACTTTCAGTACACAAAAGAGGATATATAATCATAGGACTGGTGTAGTAGAAAGAAATAGTTTGAAAAGTACACACTTAGATGCCTCAACTGAAAGAAAGTCAGACATTTCACAGAGTGGACACACTTCAGGGGAATCTCATACGTACCTATATTCAGCTAATATTTAAAAAACTGGTGACACGAGGATGCTCCACCAGAACACACCCCATGAATGATCACAGCTGCTAAAAACCCCAGCCAGTCATGAATTACCATTTCATAAAGCAGTTTCTAAAAGCAACATTTGGTTACCTGCAACTGAGGTCAACTTTTTTTGTTTTAACTATCTCTCCACCACCAAGTCACATGCCAATTCCAGCAGCATTCTGGGCTGATCACCAAGCATGGCACAGAACGCAGAAAGGACACGGCTTTACTCTGAGGTACCAGCCTGGCCATGCAGCCAGCTCGACTTTACAGCTGCTGGGCTGCACAAAGTCCCCTTTGAGGGGAGTACTCAGCAAGCTCATTGACCACAAAACACCTCTGCAGGCAGACCGTGCACCTCTGGAATGACTCTGCAGAGACAGCTTTCTGGCCGCGTCCCTGCTTATGAAAAGGCAAGAGACACATTTGGGGTAGCAGCAGGCAGACTCGTTATGTGTGGTTTAGGTCCAAGAAAAAAAACCTTCACAAGATCTGCAACAAGCTTTTTATTGAATTTAATGAGGTCTGGAAGAAGCCACTGAACCTCCAGAGTTTTGTAGCGAAGTTGAAAAACAGGAGCAAAATGTTCCAATATAAGCAGGAACAATTCCGCTTTATTCCTGCCAGTATTCAGAGAACACTTCAGCACCCGCTCGCCAGCATTCCTCTCGCAAGGCTGCGGGCCACAGATAAGCACCCCAAACGCTATCACTTCCTAAGTCACCAGCTTGTGCCAAACGGAAAAAAAAGCTGCCTGGAAGCAGAAACATCACCATGAATTGTGCCACCATCTCAAACCCTCCCACGACTTCAGGGAGGCGCAACCCCAAGCACTGGTGTGCAGCTGTGCCACTGGCCCAGCCAAGCACCGGCCAGTTTGCTGCCCTGGGGAGGGCAAATCCGCCCCTCTGTGTGCTCCCCCCATTCCCCTCGCATTAGCTCCTCTGTTTGATCCTCCAGGAGCCAGCAGCGTGCCCTGGGTGCCAAGAAAGCCAATGGGATCCTGGGGTGCATCAAGAGGAGTGTGGGCAGCAGGTCGAGGGAGGTTCTCCTCCCCATCTGCTCTGCCCTGGGGAGGCCCCATCTGCAGTGCTGTGTCCAGTGCTGGGCTCCCCACTTCAAGAAAGATGAGGAGCTACTGGAGAGAGTC